GGGGGGGGGGGGGGGGGGGGGGGGGGGGGGGGGGGGGGGAGGGCTGAAGGGCTGAAGTATGGGAGATGGGTCGGGCCCAACTGAGGGCCCTGTCAACCACAGTGCTGGGGTGTGCTTGGTTGAGGAAGAAGATGGACATTTTGGAGATCCCCTTGTTGAAACTGGTCGTAATTTTGATAATAGTTAGTGGAATCAAAAGAAAATGCTGCAATCACAATTTGTGCAGATGTTTTATTGAAACAGAACAGTAATACTTAGCAGGTCATGGAGCAACTGTAGTGGCAGAAACTCAACATCACGGGCTGATGATCTTTCAGAGTTCTGAAGCAAGGCCACTAATCTGAGACATTAAATCTGTTAATCACCACAGGTGCTGAAAGGGCTTCTAAGAATGTCTACTTCAGACTTCCAGCATATGCAGTATTTTGCCTTTTTAAAAAAATTAAGTGGGCTGACATTTAAGAAAGGTGGTAAGGAAAAGCCAGGGAAGTGTAGACTGGTGAAAAAGTTGTTGGAGGAGCAGGATTTACATGTATTTGGAAAGACAAGTATACACCTAACTGATCCATATCCGTTTGTAGATTTCTTATTTCTTCAATATAACTTACTTTCCCACCTATTTTAGTGTCATCTGCAAATTTGACCATCTTAACTGTTATCCCTGCGTTCTAGTCATTAATATAGATTGTAAATAGTTGGGACACAACGACCAAACGCCACTCGTTACATCTTGCTAAAAAGGCACATTTATCCCAATTCTCTGCTTTTGGTTGGTTAGCTAATCCTCTATCCAAGTTAATAAATTATCCCTGATCCCATGTGATTTTACCCTGTGTATTAACTTTTTGTGATTCTTTATCAAATGCCTTCTTTAAGTCCAGATAAACAACATCTACAGGATACCCCATTATCTATTTTACTTGTTACATTTTCAAAGAACTCTAGCAAATTGCTCAAACATGATTTACCCTTCATAAAACCATGCTTACTCTGACGGATTTCGAAATGTCTTGTTATTATTTTCTCAATCATAGATTCGAACAATTTGCCAATGGTCTATAGTTTCCTACTCTCTGCTTGCCTCCCTTTTTGAATAAGGGGATTACAATCCACTGAACTTCTCCAGAATCCAATGAATTTTGGAATATTATAATCAGTGGATCTATTGTGACTTTCTTTCTGACTCAAGGATGTAGGCCATCAGGCAATCCCAATAATTTGTTCAGTACTTTTTCCTCGTGATGATTCCTCCCTTTCCATAACATCTACATGATCTGTTATTATTGGAATGGTCCTGGTGTCCTCCTCCGTGAACAGCGAGGAAAGACCTTGATTTAGTATGTCTGCCAGCAAAGCCTACATCTCATGAATGAATAATTACAAATTGTGTACCTGACTGACATTGCAGAGATCACTTCATTTCCACAATCACTGGTGAGCAGTGGCAGGAAGTTCTTCCCATCCCATTTGCTGATGTAACACTGGAGAGGTTTGCGTTCTCGTTTGTGTGGGATTTGCACTGTGTACAGACGGAAGGTGTCCTTATCGTCCTCAACCTTGCCAAACCTGCAAATAACCGGAAATTTGTGAGCAACAACAGAAACATGACCAGAGTGTAACTTTTTGATTTATTCATGGGTCAAGTATTCAAGGTATGGTCTCACCAATGCCGCTCAGTGGTTAGCACTGCTGGCTCACAGAGCCAAGGACCTGGGTTTGATTCCAGCCTCCAGCGACTGTGTGGCGTTTGCATGTTCTCCAGTGTCCACATGGGTTACCTCTGGGTGCTGTGGTTTCCTCCCACAGTCCAAAGATGTCTAGGTTAGGTGGATTGGCCTTGTTAAATTGCCCAGTGTCTGGGGATGTGCAGGTTAGGTGGATTAGCCATGGGAAATGTAGAGTTACGGGGATGGGGTGAATCTCGGTGGGATGCTGTTTGGAGGGTCAGTGTGGACTCGGTGGGTTGAATGATCTTTTTCCACACTGTAGAGATTCTAAGGAATACCTATACAAATATATGTTCTCTGAACTCCATATTCCAATCTGTCTACTGATAACCTTTGATTTCCTCGCCCAACAAGGATTCACTTTTACTTTAAAAATATTGAATGGCCCTGCCTCTACTAGCTCTGTCTAGGCAGAGAATTTCAAAGTTGAACAGCCCTGAGAGAGAAACATTTCCCTCATCTCTTTCCTGAAAGGGCAACTCTTCATCTTAAACCAGTTTCCCCAAATTCAATATTTACCGACCAGAGTAAACATCCTTTCCATGTTTACTTTGAGACAGTTAAGATCTTAGTGACTTCAGCCAGATTACCCTCACTCTTCTGAACTCCAGTGGAAACAAGCCCAGTCTGTGCAACCTTTCCTCATAAAACAACCTGCTCATTCCAGGTATCAATTGAGTAAAATTCCTCTGAACCGCCTTCAATGCATTTACATCTTTCCTTAAATAAGGAACCCAAAACTGCACACACTATTTAAGATGTGGTCTTGTTAATTTCCTGTAAAACTGAGGCACAACATCTTTAATTTTTATTTCCAATGCCTTTTGTAATAAAGGAAATACCCCATTAGCCTTCTTGATTATTTGTTGGACCTGCATACCATCTTTTTGTGACTCATGCAGAACACCCAGGTTCCACTGCACCTATGAATTCTGCAATCGTTCTGTTTAAGTAATGCTGTTTTTCTAGTTCTTTCTGCCAAGGTGAACAATTTACATTTTCCCATATTATATTCCATCTGCTAGATTTTTGCCCACTTACTTAAAATATCTATATATTCATTTGCAACTTCTTCAATGTCCTCAACATACTTTCTTGCCTGCCTTTGTCATCTTCAAATTTAGTGACTGCGCCTTTGCTCCGTTCATTCAAGTCATTGTATAAATTGTAAAAGCTAAGGCTCTAGCACAGAACCATGTAGGATTCCACTTGTCACGTCTTGTCAATCAGAAAAAGACCCATTTATGCATGCTCACTGTTTTCCACCAGCAAATCAACCATGTTAATATGATAAGACCATAAGACAGAAGAGAAGTTGTATGCCATTTAGCCCATCAGGTCTGCTCTGCCACTGAATGAGATCATGGCTGATCTTCTAATCCTCAGCTCCACTTTCTTGGCTTTTCCCTTATACCCCTTGACTCCTAGACTGATTTTTAATCAGTAAATCTCAGCCATGAATATACTTAATGACACATTCTCAACAGGCCTCTGTGGTAAAGAATTCCACAGATTCACAACCCATTGAGAAGAAATTCCTCCTCTAAGAATCTTGTATATTTCGAGGTCACCTCTCATTCTTTATTTCAACAAGTAGAAGCCCAATCTACTCAATACTTCTAAGACAGTTCCTGATTTTTCTGACTCCTTCCCTTTTTAAATAAAGGTGGTATATTGGCAGATTTTCAAAACTAATGATTCCTAGAAGGTTACTACTATTGTATCCACTAGCTACATCCGCTCGAGGGTGTGAAAGGAAGTAGGGGAACACATTGCAGCACAATTTTTCAGAGTTTCCTAGATATAGGAGTCATCCCTCTGGTTTGGAAAATGCACGTCCCTCTGCTTTTTAAGAATGGCAAAAGAGAAAAACTAGGAAATTACAGACCAGCTAGCATAACATCTGTTGCCGATAAATTGTTGGCATCTCTCATCAAGGATAGGGTAACTGAACACCTTGAACATTTTCAGACAAGAAGGGAGAGCCAGCATGGATTCAGGATAGGTAGGTCATGCCTGCCAAACCTCACTGAATTTTTGAAAAGGTGACGAAGTTAATAGACAGCAAAAATGTCAATAGATGTTGTTTATATGGACTTCCAGAAGGCATCTGACGAAGACCCACATAAGACAGCGTTAACTAAAATGGAAGCCCATGGAATTGAGGGCAAATTACTGACATGCCTGGGAAATTAGTTGAGTGGCAGGTGGCAGAAAGTAGGAACAATAAGCAAGTACTCAAATTAGCAGGATATGACCAGTGGTGTCCATCAAGTTTTAGCATCTCAGTTATTCACATTATTTGTGAACAACTTGGATAATGGCATGAAAAGTCACATATCCAAATCTGCTGATGACAAAGTTAAGCAGCATTGTAGACTGCGTAAACGATAGTCTATCAGTATTCCTCTGTAATTTAGTGTGAAGTGAATGGGCAAAACTGTGGCAAATAGATTTCAATGTAAGCAAGTGAGGCTATCTATTTTGGACAAAGAAAAGGATAGATCAAGTACTTTCTAGAAGGTATGAAGTTAAATACAGAGGATCTCCAAAGAGACTTGGGGATTCAGGTGCATAGATCTTTAAAATGTCACAAACAGGTACAGAGAAGAATTATTTTTTCCTTTATTCATTCACAGGACGAGGGCATCACTGGCTAGGCAGCATTTATTGCACATCAAGAAAGCTAATGGAATGCTGGCCTTTACACCAAAAGGACTGGAGTACAAGGATGCACAAGTCATACTGTGGTTATACAAAACCCTGGTTAGATCCCACTGTGAGCAGATCTGGGCACCACATCCGAGAAAGGATATATTAACCTTGGAGTGGATACAATGTAGGTTTACAAGAATGATACTTGGACTTCAGGGGTTATGTTATGAGGGAACTGTACACATTAGGCCCAATTTCTCGAGAATTTAGAAGGTTAATTAAGGGATGATCTGATCAAAGTCTTCAAGATATTAACAAGAAGTTAAACAGTAGATAAAGACAGACTATTTCCACTGGTTAGGCTTTCTAGAACTATGGGCCAAGAATTAGGGCCACACCATTCAGGAGAGTTATTGGAAAGCACTGCCACACACAAAGGATGGTGAATGTTTGGAACACTCTTGCCTGAATGAAGTTGCCCACTTCATTAGCACTAGATCCACAAATATCCACTCCTTCCACTACCAATACTCATTAGCAGCAATGTTTTATCTACAAGATGCACTGCAGAAATTTACCAAAGATCCTGAAATACCACGTTCCAAACCCACAGCCACTTCCATCTAGAAGGACAAAGGCAGCAGATACATGGGAACACCAACCCCTGCAAGTTCCCCTCCAAGACACTCACCATTCTCACTTGGAAGTATACCGCTGTTCCTTTACTGTTGCTGAGTCAAAATCACAAAATTCCCTCCCTAATAACATTGGACGCATTGACGATCATTTTCCATAGACTCTGGAAGTTCCAATGGACTGGAGGGTAACTAATGTAACACCACTTTTTTTTAAAAAAGAAGGAGGGAGAGAAAACATGGAAAGCGGTGACAGGATCCGTCCAAAGTCAGCATGGATTCACTAAAGGGAAATCAGGCTTGACAAATCTTCTGGAATTCTTTGAGGATGTGACCAGTAGAGTGGACAAGGTGAATCAGTGAATGTTGTGTATCTGAACTTACAAAAAGCTTTTGACAAGGTCCCATACAAGTGATTAATAAGCAAAATTCAAGGTATTGGAAGTAATGTATCAATGTTGATAGAGAACTGGTTGTCAGACTGGAAGCAGAGAGCTGGAATAAACAGGTCCTTTTCAGAGTGGCAGGCAGTGACAAATAGGGTGCTGCAGGGTTCAGTGCTGGGATCCCACCTATTCACAATATGCAATGATTTGGACAAAGGAATTAAACGCAATATCTCCGACTTGCACCATGGCACTAAGTTGGGTGGCAGTGTGTGCTGTGAGGAGGATGCTAAGAGGCTGCAGGGTGACTTGGACAGACTGGCTGAGTGGGCAAGTACTTGGCAAATGCAAGATACTGTGGATAAATGTGAGGCTACCCACTTTGGTCCCAAAAACAGGAAGGCAGATTATTATCTCAATGGTGGCAGCTCAGGAAAAGGTGAGGTGCAATGAGACCTGGGTGTCATGGTGGAACAGTCGCTGCAGGTTGGTATATAGGTGCAGCAGGCAGTGTGGAAAGCTAACGGCATGCTGGCCTTCATAGCGAGAGGATTCGAGTATTGGAATAAGGATGTCTTGTTACAGTTATACAGGGTGTTGGCAAGGCCACACCTTGAACATTGTGTGCAATTCTGGTCTCCTAACCTGAGGAAAGACATTCTTGTTATTGAGCGATTGATTGATTTATCATCACTTGTACCTAAGTACAGTGAAAAGCTTTGTTTGCGAGCAGTACAGGCAGATCATAGTGAGTAAGGACATACAGATCATAGGGTGAACAAAAAAAAAACTTGGACAGAATAAAGCACACAGGTTTCACCGTGCACTAGGCAAAATCACATTAACAAGATCAGCATTATTTGAAGTTAGAGAGCCATTCATCAGTCTAATAACAGCAGGGAAGAAGCGGTTCTTGAATCTGCAGGTGCGTGTGTTCAGGCTTCTGCATCTTCTGCCTGATGGAAGAGGTTGTAGGAATTCATTACCGGGGTGGGATGGGTCTTTGATGATGTTGGCAGCCTTTCTACGGCAACGAAAGGTGTAAATGTCCTAATGGACATGCCAAATTTCCTGAGCTGTCTGAGGAAGAAGAGGCATTGTTGTGCCTTCTTTACCGTCGTATCTACATGGGAAGTCCGGGACAGGTTGTCAGTTATCGTCGCTCCTAGGAACTTGACGTTCTCAACTCTCTCACTGCTCCATTGAGGTAGACGGGGGCATGTTCTCCTCCTTTCTTTCTGACGTCAATAACCAGTTCTTTACTTTTGCTGATATGGGGGGAAGGTTATCACTGCACATCACCAAGAACAACAAGAACTAGGAGCAAGAGTAGGCCGTCTGGCCCTTCGAGCCTGCTCCGCCATTCAATAAGATCATGGCTGATCTTTTCGTGGACTCAGATCCACTTACCCGCGTTCTCACCGTATCCCTTAATTCCTTCATTGTTCAAAAAAAATCTACCTTTTTTTTAGAAAGCGTTTACTGAAATAGCGTCAACTACTTCACTGGGCAAGAAATTCCATAGATTAACAACCCTCTGGGTGAAGAAATTCCTTCTCAGTTCAGTCCTAAATCTGCTCCCTCTAGTCTTGAGGCTATGCCCTCTTGTCCTAGCTTCACCTGCTAGTGGAAACATCCTCTCTACTTCTATCTTATCTATTCCCTTCATAATTTTATATGTTTCTATAAGACCCTCCTCAATCTTCTGAATTCCAATGAATATAATCCCAATCTACTCGGGTCTCTCCTCATAAGCCAACCCCCTCAACTCCGGAATCAACCTAGTGAACCTCCTTTGCACCCCCTCCAGTGCCAGTACATCTTTTCTCAAGTAAGGAGACCAAAACTGCACACAGTACCCTAGGTGTGGCCTCACCAGCACCTTGTACAGCTGCAACATAACCTCTCTGCTTTTTATTTCAATCCCTTTAGCAATGAAGGACAAAATTCCATTTGCCTTCCTAATTACTTGTTGTACCTGCAGACCTACCTCCTGTGATTCATGCACAAGGACACCCAGGTCCCTCTGCATAGCAGCATGCTGCAACTTTTTACCATTCAAGTAATAATGCTTTTTACTATTACTCCTACCAAAATGTATGACTTCACATTTATTTACATTGTATTCCATCCGCCAGACCTTTGCCCACTCACTCAACGTATCTATGTTCCTCTGCAAAGTTTCATGGTCCTCTGCACACTTTGCTTTGCCACTCACCTTAGTGTCATCTGCAAACTTTGACATCCTACACCTGGTCCCCAGCTCCAAGTCATCTATATAAATTGTAAATAATTGCAG